GGAGAACTCTTGCCCGGAGCCCAGCCAGTGGGGCACCCAAGCTCTCCTGGGGCCCTGCTGCTCCCCTGCTCTTGAGCCCAGTGTTGCCAGCTATGCATGGGTCCCCCTCGTGGTGCTCACACCACTCTGAGCTGCTCTAGAGGAGACCCCAGTGTGCCCAGGGCACAGTACGTGACGCAGCCCCATCCAGTATGCGTGGCCAGCCGCCGGCAGCTGTGCTGCTCGGAGGACAGAGTTGCATTTCCATTCCACTCACTGCTCAGAGCCCGGGCCCTCCTCTCCTTGCTGTCTTTATTTGCTGTGTGGATGCTCTTTTTGGGCTTTTTGGGTCTGAGTCACTGAACACTGTCTGGACATTCGCTGCCTAGGAGATCTCTCTGCCAGCACTGCGGTTCCCTGTGGGAAGAGGTTGCTGGAATCCGTTTCCAGCTTGGGTCCTTCAGCCTCATGGATGTGGGGGGTGTGGGGGACCATGTGTGTGTCCTTCAACATCATGGATGCAGGGTGTTATATGTGTGTGTGTGTGTGGCGGGTAGGGTGTTCCCACATGAGGTATCTTCCTAAAAGCATTACTTTCCTTGAAGACTTTTGGGGAAAAAAATTGGGGGGTTGGATTTTTGGCTGGAAAGTCTGTTCTGCTCTGAGCTGGCTGCCACCCAGCTTGGGCCTGAGCCCCGAGGGCATGAGGCTAGACCTTCACACTGTCTGTCCCTGGACCGCAGACAACTCCTAAAGGACCCACAGGTGCTATTTGCTGGCTACAAAGTCCCCCACCCCTTGGAGCACAAGATCATCATCCGAGTGCAGACCACGCCGGACTACAGCCCCCAGGAAGCCTTCACCAACGCCATCACCGACCTCATCAGCGAGCTGTCCCTGCTGGAGGAGCGCTTCCGGGTGAGGGCGGGGCCCGGAAGGGCGGGCGGCGTGGGCTGGACACCGGCCCATGTGCCCATGCCTGGGACAGCCCTAGCCTGTTTCTTCGGAGGTCTTGGGGGAGAGGCGGTGCTCATGGAAGGGCAGGGACTTCCACCACAGGCTTCAGGACGTGTGGACTGAGAGGTTGTGGAGTCCAGGCCTGCGGCTTGCCTGCCCCATGGGACTTCCGTAGCGCGGCAGGGTCCCCTCATGTGCTGTGAGCCGGATCGGGGCGGGGAGCTGCTGTCCTTTGCGGGTGCTCTTCTACGTCCCTTATCTGTGGTTGGCAAGGCCTGGTCCTTCCAGGCCTCTGTCTGGGAGGCAGCTCACCCCAGGGTGGCCCATGCCTGTTCCCGGCAGGGCACCTGGGAGTCTATAACAGTTTAGAGGGGAAAGAGCCACAGCTTGGGGGATTTCAGTGTCTTGAGTCATCTGCTCCCCAGGAAGCCTGTGGCCCCTGACTCCTGCCTGGGCTGCCATAGAGAACGGCTGGACTGGGCCAGCTGGGAGGGCTCTTCGGTTGCTCCACTGTCCTGGGGAGTGTGGCCCATGGCTGCCCTCCAGGAAGGGCCTGGTCAGGGGATGCTGGGCTTGTTTCCCCAGCGTCCTTGCCCCAGCCGTTCCAACTCAGTGTCTGCCTTCTTCCTCTCTCCCAGGTGGCCATCAAAGACAAGCAGGAAGGAATTGAGTAGGGGCCAGAGGGGGCTCTGCTCAGCCTGTGTGAGCCCAGTTCCTACCTGCGTGTGACCCTCCGCTCCAGGCACTACGCCGAGGAGAGCGGCCAGTCCCAGCCATGGCCCGCCTTGTGACCACCCCTCACCCTGACACCGACGTATCCTGTACATAGATTAGGTTTTATATTCCTAATAAAGGATGGCGGAAGAGACCTGGATGTGGACTTGAGCAGCGGTGACTTCACAAGCAAATGGATGGTCAGGCTTGATGCAGGCAGATGACCTGTTTCAGGGGCCTCCGGTTGGCGGGGATGAATTCATTCTGGACCAAAGCTCCGGAGCCCCGGGTCTGCTGGGGAGGCGGTGCTGAGCCGGAGGGAAGTGTGCAAACCCATGAGCTCCCACGAGTCTCTGCTCTAGAAGCCTCAGCTCCTGGGCCTGCCTGTCAATGAAAGCAGGAACACTTTTTCCTGTATAACTCGAAACACCTTTCCACAGGCTTCTTGTCCACGGTAGAGAGTTTAATAAAAATATTCATTGATAGAAAGAGCCCCCACCCCCATCGGCCCAAAACTGAATAAGTTAGCTGTGTCCCTGGTCCTTTGCGATGGTGTGAGGCTACGGCCTCCCCCAGATGGCTACGATGTTGGAGTCCGTCAGGGCGGTGAGGTAGGTGAAGGAAGCATTGGCCACCACCGTGTTCACCATGGTCTTGGTCACCGCCTGGCCAAGGGCCCAGGGCTGGGGCCACTTCAGGATCTGGTGGGGGGAAAGAGGAGGGCTGGGCTGTGCTGCTGCTGACCAAAGGCAGGGTCCCTGATGCCTTGCCAGCCCAAGCCTGGGCAGGATGAGCCGGGCGGTACCTGCGTGGGGGCCTGCGGGGCTGCCGGCAGCGGGGGTGGCTGCTTCAGGATGTTGCTGACATCGTAGAGCCACACGTTACCCTCCTCATCCCCACAGAGCACAATCCCCTTATCTGTCAGGACAGAGGTGGAGCCTGAGTCGGGGCAGAGCTCCCAGAGGCCCTGAGGGGATGGGGTGGGCAGGCAGGCAGGTGGGCTCACCAGGGCAGGTGCTGAGCGAGAAGTAGGCCAACTCGGTGGGTGACCACTGCAGCCGTGCCAGGACTACCACTGCCACCGTGGACTGGCTGCCCCGGCCCCCCCACGTCTGCCTCCAGCTCCACAGGCAGATGGTACCCAGGCCGCTCCCCTTGGAGGCTGTTGGGGAGAAGGGAGAGCTCTGCAGAGTGGCCCCTCCTGGACACCTCCTCCCACTAGAGATCATCAGAAGCCCAGCCTGGGGACAAGTGGCCCATCTGTGTGCCCAGAGGCCAGGCTGTCCCGCGAGCTGGGCTCACTCACCCACGACGTCCTCATTCACAAATGCCAGCCCATCCACTCTCCGTCCAGATGCCTCGGAGCCCTCAGAGAAGACGAATTCCACTTCACACACCCTGTGGGGCAGCAGGAGATGCTGGTTGGCCATTCCTTGCAGATAGAGAGCTGCCTGCTTACCCGGGGAATCTGCAGGGCACCTGCTGGGGACCCTGCCCTGTGGGAAGGCAGCACAGAAGATGCCACCAAAGAGATACATTCTTGGCCCCAGGAAGGTTCAGTTTGCCCTGGAAGGGGGAGCCAGCACCTGAGTGTCCCAAGTCACAAGTAGTGACCCAGAGGCACGAGGGGGTGGCTCTTCCAGGACAGGACTAGGCCAGGTGGTCTGAACAGGCTCTGAAGCGAGCCGGTGCTTCTGGGACCGAGTGTGAGATGAGCAGGGGCCCTCCTGGCAGCCAAGTAGGGCAGGTGTTTCCAGGCCATGGCCCAGGGGGCTGTTGGGGGTATCTGCTCTAACTCTAAAGACGGGAATGGCTGCTGAATGTTTCAGAGCCGAGAGCGTGTGGGAGTGTCTGCTTGGATAAGTGTCCCGGCAGCTACCTGACTCGGAAACTGGCCTGGAGCCAGGAAGGTGGCCCAGCAGCTAACCATGGGCCAGGCCTGAGCCAGTTGGGCAGAGGGCATGAGAAGAAGCGTCTTAGACATGGGGACCAGGCACACTGGCAGGGAGGGAGGAGGCAGCCCAGGGGCTGCTGGTGAGAAAAATAAGCCCATAACTACCGCCGCTGCCACCAAGGCCCCTGCTGCTCCATTCAGCACAGCGCTGCTGTGTGGAAGCTCCTCCTGGGCTCTTTGTTGTAGGTAGGCTAAAAATCCAAATCTTGGCCCAGGGCGGTGGCTTATGCCTGTAATCCCAGAACTTTGGGAGGCTGAGGCGGGTGGATCACCTGAGGTCAGGAGCTCGAGACCAGCCCGGCCAATATGGCGAAACCCCATCTCTATTAAAAAGACAAAAATTGGCCAGTGCAATGGCTCACGTCTGTAATCCTGGCACTTTGGGAGGCTGAGGCGGGTGGATCACCTTAGGTGGGTGGATCACCTGAGGTCAGGAGTTCAAGACCAGCCTGGCCAACGTGGCGAAACCCCATCTCTATTAAAATACAAAAATTAGCCGGGCGTGTTGGCTCACGCCTGTAATCCCAGCTACTCAGGTGGCTGAGGCAGAAGAATTGCTTGAACCCAGGCGGGTGGAGGTTGCAGTGAGCCGAGATTGTGTCATTGCACTCCAGCCTGGGCAACAAGAGCAAAACTCCGTCTCAAAAAAAAAAAAAAAAAAAAATCGTCAGGCCTGGTGGCGTGCACCTGTAATCCCAGCTACTTGGGAGGCTGAGGCAGGAGGATCGCTTGGACCCTGGCAGTGGAGGTTGCAGTGAGCCGAGATCGAACCACTGTACTCTAGCCTGGGTGACAAGAGGGAGACTCCATCTCAACTAAAAAGTAAATAAAAAATAGAAATGCAAAGCTTACTGTGGCTGACAAAGCCTGGCGTGCCCTGCCCAGGCACCCTTGCCACCTCGCTGTGGGCTGAGTCCACCCAGCTGTGGCCACATGGCCAAGCAGACCAGCCAGCTGACCTGCCACTGATCTTTGCATATACCGTTCCCTCCATGCGAGCACCTTCCCGCCCTCTGCCTGCTGACTCCCTCGCCGGGCTCCCAGCGGGGAAAGCATGAGCCCCAGAATATCCATCTGCTGCTGGTCACCTCAGCAGAGTCCCCTGAGGCCCCCACGCTA